GGCCTTAAGGCCCTCCGCTTCTTCCTGTCCCGCAGGCCCGACCAGACCCCTCCAATGACACCCTCATCCGATTAGCCGAACTCGTCCTCACACTCAACAACTTCTCTTTCAATTCCTCCCACTTCCTACAGACAAAGGGGGTAGCCATGGATACCCGCATGGGCCCAAGCTACGCCTGCCTCTTTGTAGGTTACGTGGAACAATCCCTCTTCCGTACCTACACCGGCCCTAAACCCCACCTCTTCCTCCGTTACATTGATGACTGTATCGGTGCCGCCTCGTGCTCCCACGAGGAGCTCGAACAGTTCATACACTTCACTAACACCTTCCACCCCAACTTTAAATTTACCTGGACCATCTCTAACACCTCTCTCCCCTTCCTGGACCTCTCTGTCTCCATATGGGGCAACCACCTAGAAACCGATATTCATTTCAAGCCCACCGACTCCCACAGCTACCTAGAATACTCCTCCTCCCACCCACCTTCCTGCAAAAATGCTATCCCCTATTCCCAATTCCTTCGCCTCCGCCGCATCTGCTCCCAGGATGAGGCATTCCACTCCCGTACATCTCAGTTGTCCTCGTTTTTCAAGGACCGTAACTTCCCCTCCTCGGTGGTCGAGAACGCCCTCAACCGTGTCTCCCACATCTCCCGCACCTCATCCCTCACACCCCGTCCACGCAATAAAAACCAAAAAAGAATCCCCCTCGTCCTCACGTACCACCCCACCAACCTCCGGATCCAACGCATCATCCTCCGACACTTCCGCCATCTGCAATCCGACCCCACCACCAAAGACATCTTTCCCTCCCCACCCTTATCTGCTTTCCGGAGGGACAACTCTCTCCGTGACTCCCTTGTCCGCTCCACACTCCCCTCCAGCTCCACCACACCCGGCACTTTTCCCTGCAACCGCAGGAAGTGCTACACCTGCCCCCATACCTCCTCCCTCACCCCCATCCCAGGCCCCAAGAAGACTTTCCACATCAAGCAGATGTTCACCTGCACATCTGCCAATGTGGTATACTGCATCCGCTGTACCCGGTGTGGCTTCCTCTACATCGGGGAAACCAAGCGGAGACTCGGGGACCGCTTTGCAGAACACTTACGCTCGGTTCGCAACAAACAACTGCACCTCCCAGTCGCGAACCATTTCAACTCCCCCTCCCATTCCTCAGACGACATGTCCATCCTGGGCCTCCTGCAGTGCCACAACGATGCCACCCGAAGGTTGCAGGAACAGCAACTCATATTCCGCTTGGGAACCCTGCAGCCCAATGGTATCAATGTGGATTTCACAAGTTTCAAAATCTCCCCTCCCCCCACCGCATCCCAAAACCAGTCCAACTCGTCCCTGCCTCCCTAACCTGTTCTTCCTCCCACCTATCCCCTCCTCCCACCCCAAGCCGCACCTCCATCTCCTACCGACCAACCTCATCCCGCCCCCTTGACCTGTCCGTCCTCCCTGGACTGACCTATCCCCTTCCTAACTCCCTACCTACACTCACCTTTTACTGGGTCCATCCCCGCCTCTTCGACCTGTTTGTTTCCTCTCCACCTATCCTCTCCTCTATCCCTCTTCTATCCGCCTCCCACTCTCTCCCTATTTATTTCAAAACCCCCTTCCCCTCCCCCTTTTCTGATGAAGGGTCTAGGCCCGAAACGTCAGCCTCTCTGCTCCTATGATGCTGCTTGGCCTGCTGTGTTCATCCAGCCCTGCACCTTGTTGTCTCGGATTCTCCAGCATCTGCAGTTCCTACTATCTCTCTCCATGTTAGACTTGCCCACAGCAAGGAACTTAAAGTTGCAACATACAACACTCACATCACTAAATGAATTATTGTACAGCACATCACAGTGGATAACCAGAATGAAGAGGAAATGAAAGAGGGGTGCTAAGAGGAGCATAAAATGCGTGAGATCAAAATTTAAACAGTTTTATCACCCAGAAATTCTGTTTACTGCCTTAGAGCAAATTCCAGAGTATACTATTTCATGTAATATGAGGCAACTTGTTTTCAAGTATCCTGTAAAACACCATGCTAGTTGCAGAAGGCTCCTGTTCATTAATCTAGTGTAAGTATTACAACTAGCCCATAAATGTTATATTAGAAAATGGTTTTATTGATGTATGATATAAAGACCTTCTACTTTTACTTTACTCACAGGGTATGAATGACAGTGCTACAGTAACAACTATGGCTGAGATTGTGCTGGGAAAGGCACAGATTGTCAACCACTTTGCATGCATAGATCATACAGATCAGATTGGACAAGGATAGCACACTTTCTTCCTTTCAGGACACTATCAAAGATGTTTGGTTGTCACAATCTGGCATCAACCTACAAATCACCACATTTAAAATAGAACACAATCCTACAACGGTCACCGTGGAATATGAACTCATGATTACTAGATTCCTGGTTTAATATTATAACTAAGGATATGGGTGCATTGGATTACTAGTCCAGTACAACCAAAAATCTGGAGCCACACATTCAGATTGCACCACAACAGCCAGCCATGTAAATTCAGTTTATTCTGCAAACCTGGAGTTGCTAGAGTCCTTCAAAGATGTAACAAGCAAAGTTGATAATAGCGACCCAGTAGATATCTTTACAGCCAGAAGGAATTTGATAAGTGTTGCACAAAAGGTTAATACACCAAGGTAAGATCATATGGGAATAGGGGTCATTTATAAGCTTCCGTAGAGGATTGGCTAACCAACAGAAAGCAGAGATTCGTGATAAATGGGCCTTTTTCTGGTTGGGAAGATGTAACCAGTGGGAGGCCACAGGGTTCAGCCCCTGGACCCCAACAATTTACAATCTATATTAAATGACTTAGATGCAGGAATAGAATGAACAATAGCCAGGCTTGCACAGGACACTAAAATAGGTGGGAAAGTAAGTTGCAATGAAGAAATTTTGGGTAGGGGAGTCCAAAGCTAGAAGGCATAGGTTAAGGTGAGAGGGGTAGATTTAAAAGGGACCTTAGGGGCAACTTTTTCATGCATGTATGGATTGAGCTGCCAGAGGAAGTGGAGGCTGGTACAATTACAACAGTTAAAAGGCATCTGGATGGGTACATGAATAGGAAGGGTTTAGAGGGATACGGGCCAAATGCTGGTAAATGGAACTAGATAATTTAGAATATCTGATCAGCATGGATGAATTGGACTGAATGGTCTGTTTCCATGCTGGGGATATGGGCCAAATGCTGGTAAATGGAACTAGGTTAGTTTAAAATAACTGATCAGCATGATGAATTGGACTGAATGGTCGGTTTCCATGCTGTACAACTCTATGACTCTAAGATGCTTACTAAAGGATATGGAAAGGTTAGGTGAATGAGCCAAGGCTTGGCAGGTAAAATAGATACATGTGAGGTTATCCATTTTGGTGGGAGGTACAGAAAGGCAGCTTAGTACCTAAATGGAGAAAAACTTCAGAGTGCTTGAGAGGGATATGGGTGTCCCTGTCCATGTATCACAAAATTAGTATGCATGTACAGCAGCTAAGGAAATTTGGCATTTATTGTTAAATGAGTAGGGTATAAAAGTAGGAAGGTTTTGTAGTAACTGTACAAGGCATTTGAGAGACAGCAGCTGATGTACTGCATATAATTGTGGTCCCCTTGAGGAAGACGTAGTTGCATTGGAGGCAGTTCAAAAAAGGTTGACTAGATTGATTCCAGAGATGAAAGGTTTGTCTTGTGTCGAGAGATTGAGCAGTTTAGGCCTATACTCTCTGGGGTTTAGCAGAATGAGGGGTGATGTAATTGAGGCATATAAGATGCTAAAAGGGATTGATAAACTAGACAGAGAGGACATTTCCTGGTGAGCATTCTAGACTCAGGGGTCATAATTTTAAGATAAGAGACAGCAGATTTAAAAAACAGAGATGAGGGAGAATAACTTCTCTCAAAAGGTCATGAATCTGTGGAATTCACTACCTCGGAGGGTGGTGAATGCCAAGAATTTCAGCAAATTTGAGGAGATAGGCAGTAGTGGGTTGAAGGGTTATGGAGAGCTGGCCAGAAGAAAGTGAAGTTGAAGCCAAAATGAGATAAACTATAATGGTATTAAATGATGGAGCAGGCTTGAGGGGCTGAATTGCCTACTCCTGCTCCTAGTTCTTATGTTCTTATCTGGAATAAAAACCTAATGTCAGTAATGGTCACCATGGAACTACTACACTGTTGTAATAACCTTTCTAGGTTATGAATGCCCTTTAGGGAAGAAAACGTGCCATGTACCCAGTCTGGCCTACAAGCGATTCCAGACCCAACCAGTAATGTGGCTGACTCTTAACTGTCCTTGAAATGGCCCAGCAAGTCACACAACCAGAGACGCAATAACTGCTTGTGCTGGCAGTGTCCCTCATTCCATGATTTTTTTAAAAAAAATCTAACCTACTATAACCTTACAATAATACAAAGCTCTGCATCTACGTTAGACAAAAATAGAGCATACGCAGCAAACAAATGATCGACTGTTTCAACACGGCCCAATTGTACTCTACATTCTTTATTCCTCACACAATACTCCAACATAAAGCAATTATTAAATATTCTCTCACCTGGTAACTTGATTTCTCTTACTCTATCCAAATATGTCCCAAACTCAAATCCAGAAGGTAGGCACTCATTGCTGGGGGACAGCTTTCAAGAGATTGGTGACATTGTGTTACATAGCCCAATAGGGATCATTCTTCATCTCGGAATCCAGGTAAAAATCAAATGTGGGAAGATTGCAGCCAAGCATGATCATTTGTGAACATTTAACAGGAGGCATTAGATAATCATCAGACAGGAATTTTGGTGGATAATCCACACCCTAATGTTGTTTTGTATGAGAACAGTTAACTCAACACAACCATATGATTGAACCAGGGTCCTTCTGATGTGTGACTCAGCAACAAATTGGTCAGTGCAGTTACCCACAAAGCTACCATTCAACTCCAAACATAATGCTGTATGTTAAATTCCACTGCTTACCTGTTACTTCCGGTGTGGGCTCCATGTGCTGTTGAGCTGGTTTGGTTGGTAGATCAGTTAGCAATGCCTCTTTTTCCCATAAGTTTACTTCAGCCATCAGATTTCCTGAGAGTTCTGCACCTACAAACAGGATGGTAGATTTATAAACCAGATCTGAAACCTAGCTACATATAAAAACAAGTCAGTTAGTGATTCTATTACCAAATTTGTGATAAAAAGATAAAGGTTTACAGCCCATCACATCTTGTGAACTCTATCAGAACAGTCCAAAAGACATTCCACTTTTTGTGCTGTTTCAGACAATGAGTTATATCGCTCATTCTGGACTTTTTTTGCAAAGTACCATTTAGCATTTCATATTCTGTATTTTTGCTTTTATACAAAACGACAGTTGTTCATTACTAGGGTGCTTACACTCACTCTGGACAGATGCTTTCTCTCTTTACTACCTACCATCACCATTCCGAATGCCTTTTATTCCACATCATTGTTGCTATTTAACCTCTCCGTCATCCAACCCTATTCCAGGCACTTCCCTTTTGTTCTTAACACTGCGTAGAGCTAGAGGAACAGAGCAGGCCAGGCAGCATCAGAGGAGCAGGAAAGCTGACATTTTGGGTCAGGACCCTTCTTCAGAAATGGGGGAGGGGGAAGGGAGCTCGGAAATAAATAGAGGGGAGGGGTGGAGCTGGGGGAAGGTAGGTGGGTTGGTGATAGGTGTGTGCAGGTAGGGAGTAGCGGGGATTGGTCAGTGAGGTGGGAGGAGTGGATAGCTGGGAAAGGAGATGAACAGGTCAAGGGTCCCGACCCGAAACGTCAACTTTCCTGCTCCTCTGATGCTGCTTGACCTGCTGTGCTCCTCCAGCTCCACACTGTCATTTCTGACTAAAGCGTCGGCAGTTCTTACTATCTCTCCCTTTTGTTCTTTCTCCTTTCACCCCTTTCTAACCTCTCTCATATCTATCTTCCTTCAGTTGTGAAGAAGTCATATTCAACTTGAAATTCTGTTTTTCCTCTCTCCACAGATTCTGCCAAATCTGAGTAAACCCAGAATCCACATTGTATTTTTAATCCCCCTCCTTGACTGTTTCAAACATTCATTCATACTCCCAAAAATTATATGATGGTCTCTTATTGAACCTTCAAAAGTATTTCTGACGAAGGGTTTCAGCCCGAAATACTGATTTTCTTGCTCCTCTTTTGCTGTCTGACCTGCTCTGCCTTTCCAATCTCACACCTATAGACTCTGGCTTCCAGCATCTGCAGTCCCCTTATGGTCTTGAAGTATTCCTTGGTCTGTCTACCTGTTACATAAAACATTTCTCCCAACATCTGACCTCACTCCTGCACTGACAATTTGAAATTGATGGCCCTTCATCATTGTCACTACTATCCATGTTTAACATCAATATGGAAACCAAAAGAACTGCGGATGCTGTAAATCAGGAACAAAAATAAAGTTGCTGGAAAAACCCAGCAGGTCTGGCAGCATCGGTGAAGGAAAAAACAGAACACCGAGGAAGGGTCACCGAAGTGAAACATTATTTCTGTTTTTTTTTCCCTTCACAGATGCTGCCAGACCTGCTGGGCTTTTCCAGCAACTTTATTTTTGTTTAACATCAACATAATTCCGCTAGCAAATGTGGTTCAACTAAGACCGAGTGCGTGCATTTTGTGATGATGCGGTCATTTTAAAAAGGTTATTTTGTCCTGGGTTTTTTTCCCCCAGTAGATGTTGTAAAGGCAGAAGTACCAACTGGCTACTGAAAACTGCTTAAGTAAATAACTTAGGAGGCCTTTAGGCTTTGTTTAAAACGGTTGTAACAATGGAAGGGGAGTTTCCAGCTCTCACAGACCAGGCTTTCTAGTTTTTAAGCTTCAGCAATCAGAAGCTGTTTGGGGCCTCAGAAGGGTCGGAAACTTCAGTAAATGATTCCTAGCTGCTACTTACCCTGAAATTTCTCAGTATTGTTTCCTCCTGGATTGGAGAACTGCATGTAAGAATCTGTGTCTGAATTTACCTTTTTGCCAAGGGATGTGTTTAAGGGATGTTCCTATACTGGAACAGTTAATTTGTATGAGGTACTGTATCTATTATTCAGTTAAGTTTACCAATATTTAAGTTATTCTAAATTGCTCTCTCTAAAGTTTGTATTTTAACTGTAGTGTTTAAATAAATTGTTTTGCTTAATGTAGAGTAGTTTGGCCAGTCCCATCACATCTAGAACACGCACTTCACATCTACCCTTCAAAACAAAGTCTAGGTTACCTTAAAATATTTTGAGGGGGTCTGGTCCATAACAATTTGTTGTGTAAGAAAGACTAAATTTGAAATTTGTCTAAATGTACTTTATACTAATTTAATCTGTAGTTGGCATTAAACTGAAATTCTGCAGCTCCTAGCATTAAACAGTTAATTCCCTTCCAATACCATTCCCCCCACCCACCCCCCAAGAGTGAAGCAGCTTAATTATATATGACATTAAATAATTCAGTTAGATCCTTTGACTTGGAGGCATGTGTAAGCAGCCAACTCTGTGCAGCTTGCGATGGAGTACCAGAGTTAAATGCCTCAAGGAATGACACAAAAGAAGAAGGAGAAACATATTTGATTGCTTTTACTTAAATGTAGTAGCTGATTGATGAGTAAGATTAATGAGTATTAAATTAAAAAATAAAAAGTCTTTTGTTTGTGTTTAGGTCTTCAGCCTTTGTCCCCCTCTCCTTTTCTTAAAGAACTTGTTAAGTGCAAAATTGATACGGATGTAAAAAACAATTGATTACCAGTAAAGTCTAAACAGTGGGGGAATTTTCCCAAGTGTAAAGAGAAGGAATTTTACATTAAAAGTTACATTACAATAGAGATTGGAAGTCAGGTGGTGCATTACTGCTGCAACACGTGGAAGCTAACAGACACCAAGGTGACCCAGAGTGAGTACATCTGTAACAAGTGCTTGCATCTTGAGGTGAGGACCTGGAGTCTGAGCTGCCCACTGTACCTCAGAGAGGGGTAAAATTACCTCAACATTTCACCTCCCCCCCCACCCAAAAAGGAGGTGCCTTTACCATAGACTAGGTAATTCAAATCGGTCTGTGATCGGGGCAGGAACATGTCACTATAAAAGTGAGAAAGGTATGGGAGACCCAAGGGCAGCTTTTCAGGAATCTTGGCCCCTGCAACTGTTCTTGGATCTTGCAAGTGTGTGGACAAAAGCAGGGATTGCAGGAGAATGAGCAAACTGACTAGTGCATTACGGTACAGGAGCCATTCTAGTAGGTAGAGGAAATAGAAATGTAGTCTCGGTTGATGTCAAGATAACTAGGAGGACAGGTACTGCCCTTTTCAAACATGAGCCCTGAATTCTGTGTTGCCTGCCTGGTGCCTGGCTTAAGGATATCTCCTCAGAATTTGAACAGTTAGAAGCTAAATTACAAGGCAGAACTCCAAGATAAAATGGCATAGTAATTCAGGCAAGGAGTTAAGTGCAAAGATATCAAAGATTGGTATGGCAGGACTGGTTTTTCAGTTCACAGGGCACTGGGAGCAGAAGGGAGCTTACCTGCTGAGACGTACCTCACTTCATCCATATTGAGTGTCCTGGCAAACTGAATAACTAAGGCTGTAGAGCGTGTTTTAAACTTATATAATAGGATAATAGGTCAGCACAACATCGTGGGCCGAAGGGCCTGTACTGTGCTGTACTGTACCGTACTGTACTGTTCCATGTTCTATGTTTTAATATGTTGTGGATCTAAACAGGGATCAGGCAATTTTCGATTTGGAAATGTGTAATGTGGCAGGTTTAAAAATGACCCCAGGGTAATAACAATTACCTAGGAAACAGTTACCATAGTATCACACCATTTGACATTCAGTTTCAAAGTGAGAAATTTGGGCCAAAAACAACTGTACTAAATCTAAATAAGGGTAGTTACAAAGGATTGGAGGGCAAAGTTGATTGGAATAGACTGGGAAAGTGACTCATCAGAAAAGACAGTTCAGGGACAATAGTAGATGTTCAAGAAAATAGTTCATGACTCACAGCAAAGATATATCTCAGTGAGGAAGGTTCTAGGAGCAGGATAAACCAATCACAGTTAACCAGGCAAGTTTAGGATAGTATGAAATTGAAAGAATAAAAAACAATAATGGCACAGTAGATGGGTTGCATCCCAGGATTTTAAATGAAATACCTAGATAAATAGTGGATGGACTGTTAGTAACCTACTAAGAATTCTTAGACTCTGGAACAGTCCTGGAGGTCTGGAAAACTGCCAATGTAATGCCTCTATTCAAAAAGAGAGTCAAAACTATTTGCCAATTAGCTTGACATGTCATTGGGAAAATGCTTGTGGCTATTATAAACAATGAAAGAACATTTTGAAGTGCATAATATAAGCTGAGTCAGCACAGCTTCTCGAAGGGGAAATCATGCCCAACAAGTTTATTAGAAATCTTCAAGGAGGACAGATAAAGGGGAGCCAGTAGATCCGGGAAATTTGGATTTCCAAAAGCAGTTGATAAACTACTGCACATAAAACCCCTTAAGATGAGAGCCCCTGGTATTCATGATACATCAGCTTGAAGTGGGGACTGGGTAATTAACAGATAAAGAGTGCATTTTCAGGATGGCAATCTGTAACTTGCAGAGTACCATGCGGATCTGTGCTGGAGTCACAATTATTTACAAGACATATTGATAGCTTGGATGAGGAATGTGAATGTAACATGACCAAGTTTGCTAATGACACAAAAAACGTTGAGAAGGTAAGCAAGTAGGATGATAGGGTAGATGTGGAGAGGTTGTTCCCCTTCATGGGAGATTCGAGAACCAGACAGCATTAATCTCAGAGTAAGGGGTTGCTAGTTAATTAATTTTTTTCTCTTAGAGGATAATCAGTCAGTGGAATTCTTTACCACAGAGATTGTAAAGGCTTGACCATTAAGTATATTCAGCTTGAGACAGAGATTTTTAATCATTAAGGGAATAAAGGGTTATAGAGAAAAGGCAGGCAAGCGGAGTTGAGGATTATCAGATAAGCCCTGGTTTCATCAAATGGCAGAGTAGACTCACTGGGCTGATTGGCCTACTTCTGCTCCCAAGTCTTATGATCAACAGCAATTCAGAAGTCTTCATTGACCTTTTTTAAAATTGAAGAGAAATCACAGTAATAATTAAATTATTACTACACATATCCTTAGCACTAAAATGCAAGTCGAATTGCAGCACCTCTGCTGTTAACACAGCATAAATCAAAGCACGTAGATCAGTAATTTTTAGGATCTTTGCAAGCCACATCCATAAATTGTCATGTAATTCATGAAACACAATCTTCAATCATTTGGAAGATCAGTCATTTCAAAGTCTCCAGAGCTCTTCCTCCTAAAACAATTCAGAAAAAGTTAGCAATTATGCGCATATATGTACAATCTTATTCTACCTACTCGGTTCTTGTTCTGCTGGTGAAAGTGTGGTGCTGCTATTTGTTACGTCCTCCTGATTAACCCAAAGGTCTTCTTCAAATGCTAAGGGTGCCGTAACTGTAGCCATAGAATCTGCACAAGTACAATAAATGCTTGTAAGTTATAAGAAAAGTATTATGCAACTGTACAAGAGCCCTCCTTCAAATGTTATTGGGAGGTACTGAACAATGCAGAATAGAAGTCCCCTGTTTAATTCTTGCTGTTTTGTGATTGCAATCCAGTTACAGTTGGGCTCAGCATTCTCAAGCTTCAAAGGAGAATTTTTTAAAAGATAATGTCCCCAACTGCAATCACCAACTTTGTTGGAAAATGTGAGAGCATACATATGGAAAGAACAAAACAAAGAAAGACAGAGTTTCCTGCTCAGGAAGACCTGGCAGTCACAAATTAGGCTCATAGCTGAAGAATAGCCACTTGGATGAAGTGAGGTCAGGATGTTTGTAGCTCCAGAGTTGTATGCCAGCCAGAGGTACCATTGATGGTAGGGAAGAGTGGACAAATAGGAGAAAAGCCTTCAGTTCTCATTAATGGTTTTCTATTCCATTCTGCTAATTAAATCAACAAGACAGCAAAATGTCAGAATGGTTATATGGTATTGAGGGTATTGGAAGCAAACAGAAGGGTATTTTCACCATAAAGGGTAAAAGGTTGTGGTTTAAGTTAACAGATAACAGAGAATCAAGGAGACAAATGTGTGCAATGCCGTTTTCCTGATCTTTCGACGTTAATTGGTCTTTAAAAATTGTTGAAGCCTGAGGAGCCTCCAGAAATGGCAGAAAGGGACTTTTCTTTTTAGATATTTAATTTTGAAATCATATCTTTAGCACAAACCCTGACAGGATATGGAATTATTGCTGCAAATGCTAGCATACAGATTTAGCCCTACTTTTCACACATCCAATATGAAAGAGAATTTATTACAAATCATGGACTAATGATTAGATGGTGTCAAGCTTGGTTTTTAAGAGTCTCAAAGAATAAGAAAGCACAGAAAGGAGAATGGACTGCAGCAACATTCTCGAAACAAGACATACACAATCAAGGTCACAATAAGCAAGAGAAGGCTTGGAGGCTAGAAGTGAGAGAATTACCTTATAGCCAGGTTCTTCCCATGCATGTTGCCCAGATATGCAAGACAGTTGTTAGGAAAAAAAATTCCAAGATATGGCAGTAGCACAAAAGTAGGAACAGACTAGGTCTTAAAGAGTACTCAAAGTTCTTAACAAGAAAATAAACTTCAATTGAAGGAAAGAACAGGAGTGTTTTTAAGACATAGACTCAAGAATGAAGGAGAATATAACACCCTCATTTGAGGCAAGACAAGACTGATGAGACTAAAAATAACAAGTAGACAAACAGCATTGAAGAAAAGCTGTAGAAATTAAGAGATAGCAACTGTTTGTTTAACTAGAGCTGAGAAATTAAGAAACTGAATTTTTCAAGAACTTAGTAAAAGGCACTTTGACAAATATCCAGGGACGTTGGGTATATTCAAGTTTATGTTGTAGCAAGTCAACTAAACAACTTTCGCTCTAATTTTCACCACTGTATACCTGTGGCTTGCCATGTGGAATCAAACATTTGTTCTTGAGGAGGAGCCGTCTCTTCAAGTGAAAGTGGGTCCCATTCAGAGGTTCTCTTTTCTTCAAATGACAGCTCTTCTGCAGGTTGTTGAAAGGGGAAATTTTACTTCATTAAAACTGAGGCAACTCAATATGATTATCATACAAAAAATTCACATATATATGTGAATGAGCAGCTGAATATGCACTGCACTTTGACCTCAAAATAAAAGATATTTTCTTTCTCATGTCCTGGGTGGGAGGTTTATTTTTTTCTAATTAAAAAGAGTGACTAATTTTCAAGACTTTTTCATTAGATGTAACAGCACTTTGACGTCTCGAGGTCATAAAGGCACATACATATTGAAGTTTTTTTCTTCTTAACAGCATGGTGCAATACATAGCAAAGATCAGGAAACTTTACACATACTCTGCACTCATTCTAGAGGCCTTAGCTACGAACATGGAGAAACAGCATGGAAAAGTTCAGAACGTAAAGGCTCTAATTAACTAGGCTCATAAATGAATACCAGTTGCTCCCTCAAAATATACCTTCTCCTGTAACCAATATTACACAATGCACCTCCACAAAAAATGACCATTACGCCTGGATTCAAAGCTTCTGCCTGAAAAAAATGTAGGACAAAATCAAAGAGTTTCCTTTTCACATACTTTTCCTTTTCAAAGGCTGGGCTCCCTTTACCTACATTGTATCACCACATGCTGTGCCCCCTTTCTCCAGGGGTCTCCGTGCTTAATTCTCAAGCTGAGAAAGGAGAATTATAGAATTACTAGAGTTTAGAGGAAGTGTCATACTAAACTCAAAACATCAATCCTTTCTTTCTGTACAGATGCTGCCAGATGCTGTACAATTTCTGTACTTCCGGTTTTTATTTCAGATTTCCAACATCCACAGTACTGTACTTTTATTTAAGTATTTACTAGTGTCATCAGCTTTCTATCATTCAGCCAAGTTTGCATCCATGCTGCCACTACATGGCAAACAAGGAAGAGGAGGCCACTTAGTCCTCTGACTAGTGGAGCAGGCTCAACATCATCATAACTAAATTTGATTTTAACCTCAAATCTATATTCCTGCATATCACCAATAATCTTCCATTCCCTTGGTAATCAAGGATCTATCTCCCTCTGACTTAAAAAATATTTAAAAAGGTTCTTTATCTACTGTCTTTTAAGGAAGAGAATTCCAGAGTCTCAACCCTCAAAAAAATCCCCATCTATGTTTTAATTTGGCCTTCTTTTCAAACCGAGAACTCCAGATCTTGATTCTCTCAAGAGGAGACATCCTTTCCAACTCCACCTAGTTAATTAAAACATACAAGACTCTGAGGGGATTTAAGTCACCTCTGCCTCCCTTAAACTCCAGAGGATACGGGCCAGTCTGTCTACCCCTTCCTCATAAGGCAATCCACTCATTACAGGTATTAAGCCTAGTAAACTTTCCCTGAACTGCTTCCAAAACATGAACTTCTGTCCATAAGTATGGTGACCAGTACTGGACATAGGACTGTAAACAGACATTCTCATCAGTGCCCTGTATACCTGAAATATGAACTTCTTACTCTTACATTTGATTCCCCTCACAATAAAGCATAATCTATTAGCTTTCCAGATTACTTGCTGCACATGCATAGTAAAGTGTGATTCATTATAACTTATTTTATACCTTTTATTCCGAGGCCCTGACAAACCTATTATGTTGCCCATCACAGGCTTTTGGAAGTTAGTGTATACATCAACCACATTACCCACATCAACTCTGTTATCACATCAAGAGTTAATCAAATATTTTAAAACACAATTTGCAGTAGGTACCATCTACAAAATGCAATGCATAAATTCAAAGATCCTTAGGCAGCACCTTCGAAACCCACGAACACTTCCATCTGGAATAACAAGATAAGTAGATACACAGGATCACCACCACATGCAAGTTCCATCCAAACTACTCACTAACAAGACTTGGAAATAGATCACCATTCCTTCACTGTCACTGGGTCAAATCCCTGAAAAAAAAACCTTTCCAATCAACAATCGGTCTACCTACACAAGATGGACAGCAGTGGTTCATGAAGATAGCGCACCACCAGCTCAAGGGTAACCAGTGAGGGGCACAATAAATGCTGACCCAACCAGTGATGGCCACATCTAATAACTGAACTAAAGGAAAAAGTGCTTTTAACAAATCCTTGCTACTTGTCTTAATTCTCATTTGATCAAGCAACTTAATTTTGACCCACATTATTATTTCTAAAAGATTCATCATCATGGAGATTACATTGACTAGCCTATAGTTGCTGGGTTTATCTTTACACCCTTCTTCCAGTCCTCTCACACCATCCCTAAATTAAAAGGGGATTAGAAGATTAAGGCCAGCAGCTCCACAATTTTCACTCTTAACTTTTAAGTATAGCCAAATTTTCTATTTTTCTTTTACTGCATGGGATGCAGGCATTGCTGTCAAGGGGAGCATTTGTTGATGTTGCTGGTGTTCTTGAATTGAGTGACTTGATAGGCTGCTTCAGAGAACAGTTAAGAGTTGACCGCATTTCTGTGGGTCTAGAGACACATTTGGCCAGATCAGTAAGGATGGCAAATTTCCTTCCCTCAAAGACATTAGTAAACCAGACTGGTTTTAATATGGCGCACTGACCTCTACATCGCCGAGGCTGGACGCCAACTCTCCGACGCCTCCTCCTACCGCCCCCTTGATCATGACCCCACCCCTGAGCACCAAACCATCATCTCGCAAACCAGCCACAACCTCATCACCTTAGGTGACCTCCCACCCACGGCCTCCAACCTCATCATTCCCCAACCTCGCACTGCCCGCTTCTATCTCCTTCCCAAAATCCACAAACCTGAATGCCCTGGTCGACCCATTGTCTCCGCCTGCTCCTGCCCCACCGAACTGATCT